TGGAGATGTTGGTCACGGGAAGGTTGCTACGAAGGAGGGTATGGAGAACCCTTCTTTGGAGGAGGTGTCATAGCAACCAGTGACAGTATCGCCTCCCTCTTGTGGGTCCATGGAGGAGGAGTGGGAGCCATCGATTGGTTCTCAGATCACCGGAGGAGAGAGGCGACGGTTGACACAATTCCTACGTGACTATAGGAGTTGTTTTGCCTTCAGTATGAAGGAGTTGGGTACTTTGATTGGACCCGGCATACGGATAGAGTTGGCTAGTGATACGCCAATCTTCCGTCGTCCCTATGGATATAGTGATATGGAAAGGGACTTGATTCAGAGTCGGACATTGGAGTTATTGGAGGCTGGGTTAGTGGAGTTGTTGCATGGTGAGTATGCTTCAGCCACTGTTATGCCAGCGAAGAAGGATGTACATGGCAACTACACGGATAGGCGGATGTGTGGAGATTACCGTCCTATCAATCGGCAGACGAAGGCCGATAAGTATGCCATGCCTACACCTGAGGAGATCTTCGATGTAGTGGGACATGCGAGGATTTTTAGTACTTTGGATCTTCGGGCGGGATACCATCAGTTGCCGATTCGGGAGGAGGACAAGGCCAAGACAGCGTTTTGGGGTGTCAACTCCCACGGCAAGGATTGTTTGTACCAGTGTCGATTCTTACCCTTTGGGTTGAAGAATGCACCTGCCGAGTTCTAGAGAGTGATGGACAGGATTCTAGCGGGGCTAGATTTTGTCAGATGTTACATTGATGATATCTTGGTGTTTAGCGACACGGTGGAGCAACACCAGATACATTTGCAGATTGTGCTTGAGCGGTTGAGGGCTCATGGTCTACGGTTACATCCTGGGAAGTGTAGGTTCTTCCAGGAGAAGGTGGAGTACTTGGGTCATGTGATCTACCCAGGTGGTTTGGGAGTTCAGCAGGCAAAGGTGGAGGCTATTGTGCGCATTCCTCGTCCGGCGGATGTGAGTAGGGTTCGTGCATTCATGGGTTTGGCGAACTATTACCAGAGGTATGTGAAGGGATTCAGTGCTATAGCAAAGCCTTTGAACCACTTGCTGAAGTCGGATCAGGAGTGGCAATGGGGAGATGAGCAGGAGAGAGCTTTTGTTGAGCTCAAGGCCAGGTTGGTGGCCGCTCCCATCTTGAGGAGACCTATCAGAGGTCGTCCATACCAGTTGCACACTGATTGGAGTATGTTGGGACTTGGAGCGGTATTGACTTAGTGTGATGATGAGGGCAAGGAGTTTGTGGTTGCGTACGCTAGTCGTTCGAACAATGCAGCAGAGTCGCGGTATAGTTCGTACGAGGGAGAGTGTTTGGCAGCGGTGTGGGCTGTGGCACACTTCAGGTGTTACTTGTTTGGTACGCAGTTTACCCTTGTTACCGATCATCAACCGCTCAAGTGGTTGATGGAATCTGACAAGCTCACAGGGAAGCTTGCACGGTGGGCTCTCATCTTACAGGAGTACGACTTTCAGGTGGTGCATAGGCCTGGAGTTGCGAACCTGGATGCCGACGGTTTGAGTCGGAACCCATGCACTAGCCAGGAGGATGACACAGGAGCTAGGTGGCATGGTGAGATTGATGAGGAGATGGTGCCCGGTTGGCATGCATCGGCCTTCATGTGTTGGTTTTGTGGAGCCTCTGGCAGTGAGGACCACTTGACATCTTATTCTAGTCAGAGAGTAGATAGTCAGTCTTCGGATCCTCAGGTTGAGGATGGTGGTGTGGACCAGCGTGATGTTCACGATGATGCGTTGGTGTTGGAGTTCCTACGGACCAGTATGGTGCCAGACAAAGTGGGTGCCAAGGAGCGAGATCGTGTTCTCCAGAGGGCGAAGAGATGGTGGAGCATTTCTCCAAGTGGATTGAGTTGGTGGCATTACCTGACAAGGCGAGTGAGGGAGTAGCATATGCTTTCCTTGACAGGGTGCTTAGTCACTTTGGTGCACCAGCTGAGGTGTTGACCGATCAGGGGACAGAGTTTCAAGGTGAGTTTCAGGTCTTGTGTGACAAGACACTGATTGATCACCGGACTACTTCCCGAGATCATCCAGAGGCGGATGGTTTGGCTGAGCGGATGGTACAGACGGTGAAGAGAGCATTGCGCAAGTATGGCCTACAGAAGGGGCATCTTGGGGACTGGGATATTCAGTTACCATGGTTGGCCATGGGATATCGATTCAGTCGTCAAGCATCCTTGGCTTCGTTTTCACCATATTTTCTATTGTACGGCCGAGATCCAGACTTGCCTGCAGCGATTCGTCGTGAGTCTAGCGAGGTGGTGAACCTTGATGATCCAGATATGTGGGTGAGAGTGTGTTCTCAACGTGCAGTGCTCTTTCGGAGAGTTATGCCTGCAGCGTTTGAGAACCTTGCAATTGCTCAGCACCGAGATACGTTGCGGTATGCAACTATTCGAGGAGGAGGTTATCGACCATCGATTCGTAGGTTCCGCGTGGGAGACTACGTCTATCTACAGCAGACTGCACCGACTACGTTGGATGTGACGGCAGGACGCACTATCCTGCGAGTGCGAGAGTTGTTACCTTCTGGAGTTCTCATGTTGGAGGGTCGTGACGGTGTCGTTTGGAAGGATCATGTGCGCAACTGTGCGCCATGCCACCTCCCAAACGTGGATGGTACTATGGATCCAAGCTTGGCGATTGTACGTGCCGGCTTGAGGTGCATGTTATGTGGGTCAACTGATCAGGCGGCCCATATGTTGGTGTGTGATAGGTGTTCTAGGGGATGGCACATGTCGTGTTTGACTCCACCTATCGATGTTGTTCCTACTGGACGGTGGGTTTGTCCTCGATGTACTTCAGAGGGTAGATGACTTGATCTTCACATGTTATGAATTGCAGATAGGCGACTAACGATGGGGCGACATAGCACCCGGCCTACTGGTTCGCGCACCCACGAAGGTGCATAGCATGTAGTTGTAGATAAGGCTACCTGGGAGTCAGAGGGACCTGACCGCCAGCTAGGGGGGCGAGTTGTGATACCTTTGTGTGTGGACACTCTCGTTCCTTGTGTATGTATGTGTGAGTTGTGAGTAGAGCATGTCAGCGATGTATGATGTATGGCGATACTGAGTTGCACGACAGCTGTCATGGCTCGAGACGTTGGGTCGATTTGAGTTGAGACTCGTTGAGTTCGAATTGGAGTTGGGGAACGTTGGGAGTCGGCTAACGTTGGGCCGCGGCAGACGAGCGAGGAACGTTGGATGGTGTCGACACCTCCCGTGGGTTATATTCGTGGCAAACTCGAAGAACTGTCAGTTCTTCGAGTTGAGCCTTACGCGTCGGGGTTTTTCCCCTTAGCTTCGACTTTTAGTCTACCTACGGGTAGTGAGTTTGGCTTGACTCTTTGTGTAGTTATGTTTCGACATTTTTAGGTTGTGATTCCTTCCCGTTACCAAACCTTACACTTCCCAGAAGTTGTGATACCTTTGTGTGTGGACACTCTCGTTCCTTGTGTATGTATGTGTGAGTTGTGAGTAGAGCATGTCAGCGATGTATGATATATGGCGATACTGAGTTGCACGACATTTCTCTTACTACGCGATCCATTTCAAAGAGGAGGGTACCGTGGTACGGTATTGCGCAATTTTTGTATTCTATCTTTCCTCTGCTTTCCGTATTATAAAATAGAAGATTTTGTTGTGCAGTAATATGAACTTCACAGCAATACATGAATTTCGTAACCGCACCGTAAAGTCTAGTGATAATAGTAGACATTAATCGACGTTAATAGCATGCTGTTATTGGACGCTAACGATACTCGATGTAGAAGTGTGGAAAATTTTTCTTCTCCGCTTCTCCACAGGCTGTAATCGGCGACTACTATATTCGCTGCTCTCAAACATACGTTCCGCACTGATGCAAGTTTCCTCGTTCGCTGCTGGCAGGACACAATTTTGCAGTTCTAGGAAACATAGCGTTGGATAGTAGCATTCCACTTTTCTTCTCCAGTGACAGAATTGGGTTCGTGGTATTTCTACTTTACAATGTGGATTTTGTACAGCTGTTTGCGACTTATTTTACGTCTACTTGCTTTTCTCACCTAGTTCATACTTCGCACAATTCAGTACAGGAATACACGGATTGGAGTAAAATGTGCATGACATGACAATGCAAGTTACTCATCCTTCGACGACAACACATGTCCAATAGAAGAATGGAGAGGTTACCTTTGGAAACCTCTCCACCATGTCGTGGGTGACAGCACTTCACGTTGTCAACTCCGCTAGATGTGGCACGAGGTGCAGCTTTGACTCGACATTGGAACCAGCAAACTCGATTGGATTCTCAGACGGGGAGCATTACAATGACCGCACACCGTCGTCCTTGCACAAAGAATTTCTTAGCTTGTGTACGTACCCGGCTTCGCACTGGTACACGTTCCATGGAGCATGGTTCAAACCAACGCAATCCGTTACCACAACGGGGTGGAAACCGGAACTGACTACAGTTATATGGACGCATGTGACATCTGAGGCAGTAGATACTATGAATTTTTCACGACGATATAACTGAAATAAAATGTTGGATTTCTGTTGAACCATGTAAAGCCCCAACTACGCCACTCGTACGAACAAGATTTGTGAACGTCAGACACTACTTCGTTAAATAATGTGTCATCGGGGTCACGGCAGCGAGAGATAATTCGTTTCTACACAGCGAGCGTTCGCTAGCTTCTGTGTCCAAGTTCTAAGAGAAGATCGGAAAGAGCTACAGAAAGATTCTCAGAAAAGGCTTAAAAGCCATTTTCTACACTGATTGCAATATGTAGATATCCAGTCCTCACAATGCGAGAAATTGGCTTCTGCACTGGACTCGTGACTAACCTCGCTTTCGGCACAAACTGCAGTTCACACATACTGCCGTGTGGACAAATCGATACGGGACACAGAAAATTCAACCGATGGACTCCAGAAGCGGACAACCAATGAGAATCATCTTGAGAGTGTCAAGATTTCAGGAGTGTAAATTCTCCCAGACATAGTACCATGAAACTCATACATGCACAGTGAACCATAGTTACATCACAGGCAAGGAATGCTCAAAATTTGTATATGTACTGACATGATTGGGCAAAATGTAATTGTAATACCAGTTTTCAATTGGAGACTCAATTCGATTCCGTTACTCCATCGCGTGATCCGCATCTCTAACCTACACCAAATCGACTTATGTCTTGTCTGTCTTGGCAGCTGCTGTAGCTGCTTGTCCTCGCAGACGACCGGTTCTGCGAGCAGCAATGAGACCAACCTTTTGTCCGGGTGGTGCGTCACGTCGGACAGTACTGGCGTGACCAATATGCTGGTGGTTACCTCCTCCGTGGGGATGCTCAACGGGATTCATAGCCACACCTCTAACCTTGGGCCACGAGTTACGCTTCACCTTGTACTTGTGGTAGGCGTTTCCAGCCTTCAACATAGGCTTCTCTGTTCTTCCTCCACCGGCAACTTGACCAATCATGGCACGGCAACCGCTGGGGACGATCTTCTTCGCACCAGATGGTAACTTAATGCTGCATAAATACGATGAAGCCACAGGACTCAATCATCTGGCATATTGCAGAGTAGACGTCGGCAGATTGCCAAATTCGATGATATACGACTACCGCAAGTTGTTCATTTCGAGCCTGTATTGCGGCTGTGTTTTCTGTATTTCTCAAATTTGTCTTCCCCCATGAATTTGATCACAGGGGCGGTCTTGTTTAAGATACTTTTGAGTGGTGCATTAAGAGCTAAGTTTCATAATAGAATGGTGCCAAAGCGGCGACGCAATAGGATATAGAACCCACTCCCCAAAACTTCTTCCAGGCAACAGCTAAGTCATGAAATCCCGACACACATAAAGTAAAGTTCGAGCTTCAGCTTCGAAATTGAATCAATTACGTGTGACAGTGGTTTATAGATCACTAGATGCAGCTGCCAATCACAGAGGGCTTAGGAATAAATGTCATACCGAGATGTTCCGTTATCGGGGTTGTGGCTGATGACGATAGCGTAGTCACCAGAAGCGCGAGCAAAGGCACCCCTGTCTCCCATACGGTGCTCGACATTGCAGATAACAGCTCCCTCGGGCACAGACCTCAAAGGCAAGACGTTTCCGACGGTGAGAGCAGCCTTCTTTCCACAGTAAACGAATTGCCCAGAGTACATACCCTCTGCAGCGACGAACAACTCCTTCTGGTGCTTGTAACGAAACGCATGTCTAAATGTGACCCTGCACAATGGTGCTCCTCGTCCTGAATCGTGGATGACATCGGAAACGACTCCCTTAATGTATCCGTTTCTCTCGGCATAGTCGAGAGATCTAAATCGAGCAGGTCCTTTCCTCCTGTGGGTGTGGGATCGGAAAATACTTCCCGCTCCCTTCCTTTGGGCTCTGATTACACGACCCATACCTCCCGATCCTGCTGCTCCTACGACGAAGAAAGGTCTGCCAGTCGGCTAAGCTGGAAAAGAGGGAAGTCGGAAATCGACCTCCTCACTATACCCCTCGACTGCCCTTCCCTCGTCCCCTCGCTCATCCCTCCCTCCCCAGCGAAACAAGCCCTCTCCCTAGGGTTTGCGCTTCCTTTCTGCCCTAACCGGGAAATTTAACCCGGGTAACCTCTAGAGACATCTCCGCCGTCGATGTAGAGAATCCTCGACAACCATGGTTGGAAATTTCTACTCTGGAAAGTTGTTCTTCGAGTATCAGCCGTCCGCTTATGCGATGAGCGGTCTCAATGAGCGCTGACGTCAGCCCTAAGGAGGCTCTTTCTCGGGTACGAACCTAGTAGCGGGTCAAGTGACCGTCCTACTCTTGTGCAGGAAGGGAAGGAGCGAGTTTGTGCACGAGACTGTTATCGACGCAGGAAGGCTGCTAGAGCGCTATGTACAAGCGTCAGCATTATGCGCTTGAGCACTCGGAGAGGAATTCTGCGTCCTCTGGCTCTTCGTCCTCGTCCCTCGATACTGCTTCCGATGCGGATTCCGGCGGACCCGAGCAGGTCGACGACGCTGCGTGGCCAGGTATGAATGCGTTGTGAGTCTTCCCGTAGCGCCTAGAGAATTCGGGTGTGCCTTACATCGCGTGTATGAATTACATTCCACGCCTTTATTGCGATTTGTCAAGTCTGCCGTTTTTCCCGGAGGCTTAGAGTGCTGCCGAAGGCGAGATGTATGTGTTACTCGCACGTTCCACTGGGTTTTTTTTTACGTCATCCTTTCTTTTGAAAGGCCGTGAAGATTCTGGGTTTCTTAATGCTGTATTATAGGCGGGGATCTTGATGTCTTTTGCTTCTTTGGTGGTATCACTTTTATGTATGTGCTCGCGTTGCGCTTTTCCTGCTCTGACCGTTCTGAGAGGTTAAGTCGGCAATGAGGTCTGATGTTTACGAAATTGCCTTACATCCAGTAGGATCTAAATTTCTTGTTTTTATCAAACAGCGTCCAGCCACGAAAGCGACGAGAGCTCCCAAGAGGAGGAAGTAGTGGAGGTTGAGAGTTCTACCTCAGGTGACAAGCTCGCATCTGGCTGGGCTTAGCCTTCTGCCTGTTCCCGCATGATCGTCATTTGGTAAAAAACTCTGCATTGTTAGTTTGAATTCTCACTACGTTCGCTTGAAGCCTGCTTCGTATGTTACTCTTTACGTCCGTCTACTTCGTTTCTCCATGTTATGTCGAACCAGCTTCATTCCCTGTTTGCACAAATGGTAATTCTTCTCTACGGTAGTTTCTGTAGTTTTTGAGATTTTTGTGGTTTTCCCACCCAGTCGCGGAGAGGAGGGCTGCGGCCATTCGAATTGCCGAGAGGAAACTCGCAGAGGCATCTGAAGACGTCGGCGAATTCGGAGAGGGGATTGACAAAGCGCTTAAGGAATCTGAATTGGGGAAGTCAGGGGATCAAGCCGCAGGGTCCGGCGCCGAGAGTTCAGACGAATCAGAAGATGATCCCGATCTTGGTTCAGCAGATCTAAAGAATGGAACTTTGGCACATGAGGATGACTCGCCTGAGGAGTCAAGCGATGTGGATCGTTCCGAGGAGTTGTTGGCTCAAAGAAAGGTCTCTTGTCAGTGGGCCGAAGCCGTTGAAGAAGATGAAGAAGAAAGGGTTTTGGACAGGTTTGAGGGCAATACCGTGATTTGCATTGGGGACGAGAAAAAGATTCTCAAGTGTAGGTTATGTCCAAAAGTGCTGTGCTTGAAGGAGGAGACAATGCAAGCCCATCTTGTTTCTAAGGTGATGCTCATACTCTTTTGCTGGTACTTTCACTTACCCTGGTCGCCCGCTTTAGTCCGCAGATACTGTCCTAAATGCGACAGGTAGGTACCTGTTTGATCCGTCGAAACTCTTGAGCTTGATGTCTACGTTCTTTGTAGTATCAACTAAAATGTTTAATCTACAACTTGGGTTTCATCCATGGCACTGGTTTTAACGTTGAGTCTTTTCTGTCCCTATGTTGCCTCTTGACTTCACCGTCAGTCTGCTGTGATGAGTAAGCAATATTTCTGACACCTCTTGTACGAGGGGAGCGCTATGCGCTTCCCGTTGAACGGAGACGCTTCATTCTGAGCAAAGTTGCCTCCTTAACATGGTCCTGATCAGTTTCCTGAACAGCACGGCCTTTCGAGGTTGTAGGGTGTGATTACATAGATTGTCGCCGTGATGAGTAAGCAATTTTTCTGACACCTCTTGTACGAGAGCATTGCTCGTTGAACGGAGACGCTTCATTCTGAGCAAAGTTTCCTCCTTACCATGATACTGATCAGTTTCCTGGCCAGCACGGCCTTCCGAGGTCATAGGGTATGATTACACAAATTGTCGCTGTGATGAGTAAGCAATATTTCTGACACCTCTTGTACGAGAGCATTGCTCGTTGAACGGAGACGCTTCATTCTGAGCACATGGACAGGGTTGTACTCCTCCGTCACAGTTCCTTCTATGATTGTTGCTTCAGGTTCTCGTATTCAAACTAGGGTCTTGGCCGAAAGAACTCTCGTTTTGAAACAAGTTTGTCCCGCGGGGATGAGTAAGCAATATTTCTGACACCTCTTGTACGAGAGCTTTGCTCGTTGAACGGAGACGCTTCATTCTGAGCACATGGACAGTTTTGAACCCCCCCCTCTCCCCCCCAGTCACATATTCTACAATGACTGTTGCTGTCTCCAAACAATGGCCTTGGCTGATAGAATTTTTCTGTGTTACAAGTTTATCATGCGGGGATGAGTAAGCAATATTTCTGACACCTCTTGTACGAGAGCATTGCTCGTTGAACGGAGACGCTTCATTCTGAGCATATGGACTGGTAAACTTCAGGTTCATAGTTTCACCAAGTATCTTGCTTCGGGTCTCGTGATCCAAACTGGGTTCGACCGGAAGTATCAATTAAACCAACAGGTCATGTCTGATACCTCTTGTTCGAGTAGGTCTGTAGCGTTCTCTTAACAGAGACTCTTCATTCAAAGCTGAATGTAACAGGCATCCCTTGTAATCTTTGCTTGTCGAGACGGTCCCTGTTCGAGGATGAGAAATTTGTTTGGCTATCCGTTCGGTCTAACATTGTCACATGTGGGAATATTCTTGATACAGTGTCTACAGTACGTTGAACTGATTCTCCTCGTTCTGATCAGTTGTATTAGGCCTTTAGTGACAATATAAGTTGTTAGGCTTTTACTGATAATATAACTCAGTCCTGTCTGTTTCTATGCTGATTTGAACGTCAGTCTGCTGTGATGAGTAAGCAATATTTCTGACACCTCTTGTACGAGAGCAATGTTTTGCACTGCTCGTTGAACGGAGACGCTTCGCTCTGAGCACTGTGCACACTCTGTGTCATGTGTCCCGTGGTTATCATTCAACGTAAACAGCAGTTTTTTCCGATGTCGAGTGTTCGTAGACGATGCATGACCATGAAGACTCCAGCATAAACGGCGTAATTGTGTTCGTCTGCATACTTTCTCTTTGCATTGGTGCATTAGATGTCCTTCGGGTGGCGTCTGCATGCGTTCATTGTGTGTTATTGTCTCTTGTGCACTCCTTGTGAACCCTTCATCTCTGTTAGCTTTGTTAGGTCTGACTGCTGTGGTCGAATTTTGCTGTCCAAGTAACCCATTGCGGGTTTTTATGATGATCATGTGTAGACAAAAACCCTTCCCGCTTGAGACACGGTTGCGTGTTGTTAACACGCAACGTTTACTGAAACTGTTAGTCATGGATGTAGCGCCATGCCAGGTCCATGAAGCAGCTGGCTGAAGGGAAGTTAAAGATTCAACTGGATAGCGATGGCGAGGAAGAAGAGGAAGGTGAAACCCACGCTGAGCGATACGCACGTACGATGGCAGCTGCCGAGGTATTCGTCTCGACTCAGTCGTACGTGTACGCACAGTGTTGAATCAAAATCTTTCCATCAAACCTTTTCATATATCTTATAATCCTGGCACTGTTAGTCTTATCAGCTGACGTATGACGCAGGAGCTCAAGGTCATCTCGAGGAAGAGGAAACGAGATTCGGGTCGACAACGGCAACGTAATAGAGAAGTTGTAAAGAAAAAGGTATATGTTCTTTTGTGAACTTCTTATATGTTCACTTTCCCCCTTTTCGTTTCCCTTCCCTTTCTCTTGTTTTGATTGTGAACGAATTTAAGGTTTTCCTATTCTAACGTTTATTATTTATTTCTATTTATTCCTTTTCTAACGTTTATTTTTTATTTAACGTGCAGGCTGCCATGAAACCGGAGATTGCAGTTCCAGCTGTTGTTGGGAAAAACCGTAAAGAAAGGAGAGCCATTGTCCACGGTGATTTGAACGAATCCAAGACTGCGACCAGTACTAAACCGAAGGGAAAGGTTAAGAAGGAGATAAGTAGCAGGATAGTCCCAGAGAAGAAAGAAACGAATAGGAAGAATAGGCGTCCGAGACATACGTAGTGCGGTCAATTGAGAAGTAGCATACAGAGCCCGTGTTTTTGTGAATACCTCCGGGATGTACCCAAGTCATTGTGCGTTTGACGTTTTGTAAGTCAAGAAATAATTTTTAACTATGCCTGTCACATTTCTCTCATTGTCACTCCTTAGCACGGGCAGGCAGGTTTTCTCACATTGTGAATTGCATCTTAACGCAAGAAAAGTATTTCTTTGGGTTCTGTTGCATCGAGTGTGGGACTCTTTACGCTCTAGAGCAAATCAGACGAGTTGTTTTCGTTCTTACTGAATATGCTAAATGCCGCGCAATTAGTCACCATCACTGTCGACTTGACAGCGGGGCTACTGTTTTATAAACTGGTCCCTGCTGATTGACACATTCGAGTGTGTGCCTACTCTTCCCAGCTCTCTACTGGAAGATTTGTCGCTTGTTAACCGGTGGTCCCTCCATTCTTGCCTTTCCCGCTGAAGTCGCGAGCACTTTCGAGTAGTAATGCTCTACTTTCCACTGTCTCGGCTGTTCCTTACTGGCCTTTTCAACTATTCAAAGGCAAATGATATGAAACGTATAGAATCTAGTCTAGAAGGAATGATCGGCAGGTAAACACTTCAAACCTCACCTACGATCGTCATGTGCGTCTAAGTAACTGTGTTTTCTGTTCGAATAGAAAGTGGTGCCGTCTGTGTATAGTCTGTGGACGTAAAATGCATGGATTGAAATGGCAGCAAGTGGTATGAAGGTTGAACACTAATGGGTAGTACAAATGACGTGAATACCAAATTTGGGGCAAGTTTGATGTAATCTTCGAAGTTATTACTGTTCTGGTTGAATGATATCTCTGTCTAATACTACAGTCCTAAAAGCAGTAACACTGCGAAAGAGTAAGTCCAAGTTTGAAGTAAACCCTTCTATTCACGTGATCAAAAATTTGCTCCAACGTTTCAAGCGAAGGAATATGAACGAAGAAAGCAACTCTTGAAGAGTAAATCTTGAAATTTGATAGTCCCGAGGAGAGTAATTTGCAATATTGTCGATTTGTAATAAGATACTTCCAAAATCTTGAGCATATTAGTTTTTCCAAAGCGGAGAAAATAGTAAGAAAAGTATTGAGTGCCGGTAATGTTGATAGAATACTAAATCACCACGAAAATTCAGAGTACTATTAAGAACATGAGCAAGTAAAGCGACAAATGCGACCCAATTTACAAACACATCAAGCATGTAAGACTTTTGGCTAGATAAGAGTATACCAGGCATAAGTCTCTTCAGGTTGAGGTCAAATAACACAACCATGGTTAAGCTAGTCTAATCATCAGAGTTTACACCTAACCATATCATGATTAGGTGTAAACTCTGATGAGGTGCAGAGGCCAACATTTTACTTCAGATCTGCACCCAGACCAGACCATAACCAGCAGCGACCTAACCTCACCCACAGCATTAACTGTGCTCAATCCATGCTATCCAAATTACGACAAATCTTGGTGGTATCTTGACAAACACTGCACTTAGCATTACTTGTGCCCACCTTTGGAAATATAATGTCACCCAAAACCCATGGGGATGGGTGGGTTTGGGCACCCAATGTTGGGCTCTGGTTAGGTGGCAGCTTCATCCAAGTTACAATCAGAACCTTTTAAATCTTGAAAATTTTTGAATAAGGAAATCTTAGACATAATGATTTCAACACGATCAAACTCTAACATTCAACGTTGAAACATCTCATCTCTTCTCTCATCTCCTTTCTGTTTCGTCGGAATCAGTGGATCTGATAATTTTACTGATTGTGACTTTGACAACGCGGTGACAGCAACGTGACATCGTAACAGATATCGTAACATCAATTGTGATCATGACAGGGCAAAAGTTAGCAACTCGGAGCAATTAGCAGCAATTTGGGCAACTTTGAGCAGTATGCAACAACTTTGGATATTGGTCAAAACAATTAGCATCGAGCAGCAAATTCTTGCAGCAAGAGGGCCAAGATTATGAACAATTTCGTGGGGGCATGAATCTCTTGTATGACTGTTTGGAAATTTGTCCATGGCATAGAAGAAAGCTATATCAATTCTGGTTTATAACAAGAGTTTCGTCACCCGATGAAATGTTACAAAGATTGGTGGCATGAGGTTTGAAGTGGAATGTTTGATGATTGAACTGACTGTTGCAAGTAGATTGTGAGCTTGGGGAAGTTACTCAAACCCAAATCAATTGATGATTCGCAACTCTACGGAGAAAAATCACCAAATGTGAGCTTTCAGTGGCTATACATGCCCTTGGGCTAGTTGGTTTCATGACGGCATAGATTATGAAAAAGCCGAGATGCATTTCAAGATTTGCTTGCGGATTTTGGAGAATATTTCAGTGATGAACGCAGATTCATTCAAACATGGAGTTCTCTGTGTGCATGATATCAGTCCTTGTGACAAAAAGGCAATCACATAATGGTTTTGATGGCATGGATGATCAATGATATGCATGCAGATAATTAGTGAATATAATATGTTTCCTGCATAAATATCGTACAGTGATATATATGCAGCAAACCCAGCAAACCTCTTCTCCACACTTTTGAATGATACTTGTTGAACAAAGAATTAGACAAGTCCTTGACCAAGTCCAGATTTAGTTCAACATGATTTGAACAAGTTCAAATTATGTTGATTGGGAAGGAAATTAAGCCTGGGAAACATGAACGTCCAACCACGTGAAGAAAGACTCGAGAAGAAACCGGAAGCAGGACGATGGAAGTTGGGACCCGGAGGTAATGCTGATTTTCCGGAGACGACGGACGGGCTACAGCCGGTACGAGCCGGGAGGGAGACAGCACTCACCGTACAAGCGCTGCGTACCGCAAGCTGTACATGTGCTGGAAGGTAGCGCCGCCGCCGGCGCAGAAGCACGAGCCGACGAGGGAGAGATTCACTGGAGCACGGGAGCAGAGCTGCTGCTTGCTGGAGAGAGAACATGGAGCGGGCAAGAAGACACGCCCAGCAGTGAGCAGATGTTTTGGCTGCTCGACTGTGCACGCTCTATTGCCCGCGCTTCGCTCCTCAAGGAACCTCCGGTTGTGCATTAAATCCTCACGCACCAGATCATGAAGTTTTGGACCTCGCCTCTCCTGATCGGTATACCCAGCGCTCTGTCTCTCTGCCTCTCCCCATCTCGTGACAGGCGGCAATTCTCTACTTCCCGCTGCAGCTGCGTGAGGTGCTTCGATCTTCCTCGAGTCCATTCAATTCCGTTCCGTCTGACTGAATGGGAATTCGATGTTTCTGAATGCGCATGCTTCGGACCCCGGTCTGGCCCTCCAGAGTCCAGTCCAGCACTATCCTTCGAGGGTCTTGTTTCGCTAGACGATCTCGGAAGAGGAAATTGTCGCAGTTCTCACGGGAGGAGTGGATTATCTTCCATTCCACTGCGGCTTTGGAATTTGCTGTCTATCACTTCGCTGGAGGGACTGCATTGGCTCGTCCAGGACTTCGAGATCCTTGAGCAACTTCTCGCCCGTGTCTACGTTTCACGAGCACGTATTGATTGCAGCTCGAGACAGCCCGAGATTCACGTCGAGTCCGACTTGACCGACCGACCGACACTCTCGAGATTCATACATTGCTCTTCTTCGCCCGTCGATGAAACGAGTACAGCGAGTATCAGATCACGATTGACTTCCTTGTAATTGTGTCACCGAGGCTAGTAAAGCTCCAATACCACGGAGCGGAGACCAGGGACATTGACAGAAGTAGAGTCATCGGTCGACGCCGTGCATGTACATGAATGAGTACATAGAACGATTGCAGTCGACTGGTGAAATTGCTTCCACCGATCGGCCACTGAATCGCGGTGCTCCACGCGCCCGATCAGACCGACCTCCGATGTTTGCAGCTTTTAGATGACACGGCATTTTATCGACGATTTGCAGTCGCCGTCTCGGAGAGGAGAGGAGCGGAGCGTACATTTCCTCTTACAGCAGCTCTCCAATACGAGGCTCGGTGTTTTGGTGACTGTGGTCACGGAGATGGAGATGGAGATGGAGATGTAGCCATGACCTCTTGAGACGAGGAAGATCATCATAAGAATCGGAGAGGGAAGATTGCTGCGTCAATTGGTCGAAAATATCACATCGCTGACAGTGGGCGGCTGAGGGAGGGCCGAGATGGCCACCTTCGCGGACATAGCGACCTCGGCGCTCATCAATTTGCTCAGCAGCTTCTTGTTTCTGCTGGCATTCTCCGTGCTGCGACTGCAGCCCCAGAATGCGCGCGTCTTCTACCCCAAGTGGTACATCAAAGGCGTCCGCAAGCCGTCCAGGCAAACGGGAGGGCACAAGCGACTCTCCCTCTCGCACTACGTCAACTTGGACTACAAGGCCTACTTGCGGCTCCTGAGCTGGATGTGGGACGCCATCCTCATGCCCGAGGAAGAGCTCATCGAGCATGCGGGCCTCGACTCCGCTGTCTTCCTCCGCATCTTCCTCTTGGGGTGAGTGAATGACTGAGTGAGGCTATCATCAGATTCTCATCTCCTCTATTCCATTCCTTTCCTCGATCCGCATATTCGTGGCTTCACCCGTCGTTGTATAAACAGGTTCACAGTTTTGGATCGTTGTGTAGTATGTTGTTATGATCCTAGTCCTCGAGTGGCGACGAACGAGACAGATGCTGGAATGTGATCTGTCTCGTTCGTCGCGATCAATGTATGCTGTGCATGCGGCCATAGCCCAGTGTGCAGGTTGGACTGGTAATTTGAGGTCTGTGCGTAGAATCGAAGTAGCTTCGCAACATTACTTCGGGTCTGGTATCGGGTGGGGGATTTTTGCAGCGCAAAGACTTGAACAGCGTGGATCTAATCAACTAGGGAGTGCTGACGGAAGAGTGAATTGTGCGACAGGTTGAAGATCTTTTCGCCGATGGCGGGACTCGGGTTTCTCATCCTGCTGCCCATCAATGCTACGGATAACAACCTGCAATTCAAGATGGCCAAGAATCCGAACAATCCGTCTTTCAGTGACGTCGATAAGCTGTCCATATCCAATGTGCAGGACAAGTCGCCCAGGTGAGCTTCATGAATACTGTAAACCTCGAGGTCTCATACACTTACATATATCCTGTCCACTATAAGTGCACTATTGGCCTGTTCAAAGGAGAAGACTGTCGTGCCTGTGGCCGTCAGCCATCCTCCATTATAAATTACACTGCGTGCGGGAAGGTCGTCTGTAGGATGGGTGCCTTGGATCTGCACTGATTATATCCAATTTATTCAACGATTGTTGGTAGTGTGTATTTTCCATTGCAGGTTGTGGGCGCACTTGTTGATGACGTATATATTCACAATATGGACCTGCAAAATGCTCTACATGGAGTACAAAGCTGTCGCTAACATGCGCCTCCATTTCCTAGCCACCAAGAAGCGGTCGCCGGATCAGTTTACAGTAAGTGCAACAGTCATTGCTCTGCACTTGAGATGGGGCATTAGTGTTTGATTAGGCTCAGGAATTGCTTGCAGCCTAATCATCGAATCAATAGCTGAAGACATACATTGCAGACCAGGTGTAGCTCTGATTTGGCTATTCTCACTGAACAAATATGTCGAAGTCGGATATCCGGACAGAAAGAGCCAGGGACCAACTGCTGCAATTGGACCACAAAACTTAGGAAAGACAGTAAACAGCCATTACTAGAGCAAAGTAATTTGCTCTCCAAGTCGTTCCGACTCGTGTCGACCACAAAGCAACCCGTGACCTTGACTGGACCTTTGACTCAGCCTACAGATCGAGTCATGATGAGAATGCATGAGGAGCCTCCAATCTTTGCACAGGAGAACGAAAAGTATTGTCTTAATTTTTTTCTTTGTTCTTTTTGCTTTCCGTTTCCTTTGCCTTTGGCTTTTCTATTTCTCAGAAGAAGAGAGAAGAGCTGGGACTGAAGACAAGGATAATGCATGACGACTTTCTTGGTCAATCTTATCGCCTTTGATGTCAGTTCGTCTTCGGGGCTGAATGAACCGGAGGTTTCAATATTCAATCGGCACATGGAATGGAGTGATCTGATGTTTTGATCTCTGTTATACAGATATTGGTCCGACAGGTGCCTCCAGATCCGAAGAGGTCTGTCTTCACTACTGTTGAGGATTTCTTCAAAAGCAATACGCCCGATTATCTTCTTGCTCAGGTGCTTCTACTTATTCGGTTTCGCAGCTTATTCTCCAGATTTTTGACTCACCCGTTGGCTTCCCAAGAACAATGACCATATCAAGGAGAAGGAAATGAACTGGTCGTCGCAATGCTGTAACAACCTGCATCTGCATTTTTGTACTGCATCTGAAGATCAGTCTATGCACGTCATCTGTGTCGCAGATCGCTTGCATACAGATTGTCTACGATGCAAACAGGCTTGGCAAGACATTGGACAAGATATCGCGCATGGAAAACTGGCTAAATTACTACCAGAACAAGTTTGACAGGCATCCCCTTAAGAGGCCGATTAAAAAGGTGTGTGCAGCCTCCTTGCTTTTATTTCTTTGATTTTATTATAAATTTTGTGTTAACGATGACCTGAATACATTTGACGGCTTTTATCTATACTCCTGGTTGATCCTTTCATTTGGCTCCGAGAGTCATGCTTGGCAGCCTCTAAGAAAAGAAGATGCACGAGCTGGAGTTGTAATCACGTGCATAGCATAAGAATGATGTGTCCAGATACGAACAGAAGAATAAAGTGGAATGCTTAAATTACTCGCAGTCGATCGCTATAACCGAGTGAAAACTGCTTCTCTGGCCGCTCCTGACTGTCCATACCTCTTCGAACTGCTCTGCGTACTACAGAAGGGCTTCCTTGGTCTGTGGGGAGAAGAAGTAGATGCCATCAACTACTACAAAACAGAAATTGAGAGGATGAAGATTGAGGTAACTGCAATCGACAGCTTGCTTGTACAGGATTCTGATGTAGCCTGGCTTCGGTGTCTATATGTTCAAAAGACAATGTCTGATGTTTGGAAGTCTGTTCTTGTCACATTCCTGCAACATGTGACAAGAAGCCGATTAATTATGCCCATAATTTTTGCAGGCAGGGAAGGAGCAGGACGAAGTAATGAGCGACCCCAAGTCGATTATGCCGTCAGCATTCGTCTCCTTCAAAAGCAGATGGTCGGCAGCTGTTTGTGCTCAAACTCATCAAACCAGAAACCCGAACAAGTGGATCACAGAATGGGCTCCAGAGGTCCGGGACGTGTACTGGCCCAGTTTGGCCATCCCATATCTGAGCCTCACCATGCGCAACGTGGGCATGGGAGTTGCTCTATTTTTCTTGATCTTTTTTTTCATGATCCCCGTTTTGGCTGTGCAATCGCTGGCCAACTTGGATGGAATCGTCAAGAAGTTCACCTTTATCAAGCCTCTGGTTGAAATGTACGTGCTCACGAATCAACTGATGCAGTAGCTGCTCGTTCAGTCTTCAGTACAGTTTGTGTTCGTCCTGCACAGAGACTGATAGCTGCGAGCAAATCCACACTAGCAAGCCCACTGGAAGTAGTTCTTTTCATGCATGAGCATAAATATATATATGTTCTCGCCATAACTTCTAGACTGCAATCCCCTCGATGGTACTGAGTCAGACAGACTCTGTTATCGTAGTCTGGCAAAGGCTGGAACTCAGTGTGGACAACATTCTGTGTATTCCGATTGCCGTGAACAAGTTGCGCATTCAGAGGAGGCTCCAGAGATGATTCTGTACTCACCTTCGTCTTCGTTGTGAACAGGCCTGCAGTCAAGTCTTTTCTGCAAGGTTTTATGGCTGGGTTGGCGTTGAGAATTTTCGTGGCCCTGTTGCCCATGATTCTCATGTTCATGTCCAGATTTGAGGGTCATCTGTCTCGATCTGCACTGGATCGGAGAGCAGCAACGAAGCTCTATTACTTCATGGTGGTCAATGTATTCTTCGGCAGTGTCATCACTGGATCCCTCATTGAGCAGCTATGGGCAATTATCAACAGTCCTTCTATTGCCAAGTACATAAAACTCCTGAAACCTCCCGCCTGTCATTGACACGGTTGCCATCTTGTGGATATCTTTGAGAAGAGCTTGCCCACGGATCATGGTCTATTTTCAAAGCTCCACTCTACCGGTCGGACCCCAAAGATCATGCTCGTGCTTGACAAGCGCCGGTTGTCGATGTGCAGCATTTTGAAAAATCTAGGGTACCTGATCCCCATGAAGGCCACTTTCTTCATCACCTTCATCATGGTCGACGGGTGGGCAGGTGTATCGATGGAGATAGTCCGGGTCTATGCTCTAGTAATTTATCATCTCAAGAACATGTTCCTTGTGAAGACGGAGAAGGACAGAGACGAGGCAATGGCCCCGGGAAATCTTCTGCTGAACGAGAACATTCCGCGTTTGGAGCTGTACTTCCTGCTGGGAATTGTCTACTCGGTCACCACGCCTATAATCCTCCCCTTTATCATGGTGTTCTTCGCCTTCGGATACTTGGCCTACCGCAATCAGGTCAGAAGGAATTTTTTCCCAGCATAAAGGTGCAAGTTTTTGCAGTGCGCTTTGTCGAATGACCAGGTGTCTGCTTGGTGTAGTTATGGAGTCCGAGTAGTCATCGAAATTCTTGTATGACTGTTCTCTTCAGAATGAGGAACTAATTGCAATTCCAATCCTCTTTACTTTTCTTTCTTTGTTTCTGGCCGGTACAAGCATGCACAATTTCAGACGAAGGATTTGCCGTAAACCAGGTTGAAACGTCCTCTTGCTTCCACAGGTTATCAATGTCTATGATCCTGATTATGACAGTGGCGCAGCATTCTGGCCTCACGTACACGGACGAATCATAGTTGCCATGATCATCGAGCAGTTGACCCTGATCGGTTTGTTCACAATCAAGGGACCTGTGGGCTTTGCACAGACTGACGTCAGGAATAAATCACTTTCGGCTGCCACCTTCATGAAAGAAATGCTGAGCTCTACACCATTTCTTGTTGCTCTACCCATCGGCACGATGATCTTCCACGTTTACTGCAAAAAGCGCTTCCGTGCAGCCTTTCAGTTTTATCCAATGGTGGTAAGAAAGCAGCACCGCATGCTAAGCATCTGCTCTAGCTTCAGACATGTGCATAAATAGAACCTATAACAGTGGCTCTGCAAATGTGTACAGAATTCCTCACGATTTCATCAAGCGAGAACAATTTTATTCACGAGGATGCAACATCGAAGAAATGCTTAGTTTTTGTTATGACAGAAAGGGAGGAAGGGAAATACTTATTCACACAGAAGATTTTGTGATTATGTAAATTACAACAGACTTCTTGACAAGCATTTTGAATGTGTCCATCTGCAGGAGGCAAACGAGAAGGATCGACAGGAGGAGAAGGACACTCCAGACCTGGACCTACAAAAGTACCTCGACAAATCATACTTGCATCCGGTACTGAAGGAAGAGCAAGAGGTCCAGGGGAGATTCAGAACGGTGAAGACCCTGCGAAGACGCTCTAAAGACCTGGAGGAAGTAGAGAGTGGCAGCGACGATGAAGGTGGTCGACATCTGGGCCTGGAGGGCGATTTACCAGCAGCCCACTTGGAAGAGCTGGAAGCTGTACCTTACACTCCCCCTTACGATTCTCAAATCTCCAAGTCCTCTGAGCTGCTCCTCGATCCTTCTCACAGACATCCGCACCTGAAGAGCGACGGATCATCGTCCAAACTTTACTACGACTCTCTCCCCACTTCTTCATCGTCCAGGTCCAGCAATCAGCGAGAGTAATATTGAGAAAAGTCGATCGTTCCACTCGCAATTGTCTCACTTTCTCTGTCTTCACTAACCGCAAATTGACGGCATTTAAGTGGTTGTCGGACTGCATCCATCTGCCAAGTCGTGGATGTATAACAGGGTCGTCCGCGTTCCCCTCTGCGAATTGGAAGAAGTCAGTGAACGCAAGGGCTGAGTTAATTAAGTGGACATCCCCGGTGCATGAAGTCTTGCCCGTAACTGGATCCCGAAGGTGACGACGAGGATGGTCGGCTCACAAGTGAGAAACAAAAGCTCCCTTCATTCACTGGGCTGCTTTTGATACAAGTCGAACTTGGTGAAGCTTCCATCAGCAATCTCGTAGTGGGGAAAACCTGAATCTGACCAAGAGAGAAAACCAGAACTCTGGACTTAGCTTAGCTTAGGATGGCCTTCAAAGCATTTGACCCCTCTTGAAAGTCAAACCGACCATCATAGACACAATCGACACGAGTATCATAGCTCTTTCCTTCCATTGTACCTCTTTCATTCTTGTTCGAAGCTGGTAGGATTTACCGGCCTAGTCAGCTTAGACGGCACGTTGTGGAAATAGTAGGACATCTACACGCAATGCCATTGCATTGCCTTGAGAGCACCAATGGCACGCAGCGAGCGGATGACGAGGAACCTGGATCAGTGCCAGCACTCGTATCTGGTGACTGTAAGCCTTCCGAGTTTGTGCTTTTGTAACAGTACGGTAGATGAAATAGATTTGCAAATGAGCCAACAGTTCCTGAACTTCCTTTGGCAACTGACAACCATAGATAAATTCAATACACACACATTCAATCACAACTTACCGGCACATATTTACGGCTTCTGGTCCATCATGGTAGAACCTTCCAACTTTGTGCCTCGTCAGGGTCCCGACGAGGTACAGAGTTTTGGAGGAACATGTGCAGGTACTTCCTCCGGATGATACTGCAGGGTAGCATGCTAAAACCTGCACATTTATAAACACGGTGGGACAGGAGCCTCAATCTCTCCGCCCAATGTAAGTAAGATGACGATTTCATGTGAATCCATTAAGCCCATTGTCTTCAATGCATACGAGTTGCACCGTACAGCATTTTTCATAATTGTGGTACTTGTTTTAGAGTAGATTGATGTGATGCTGCCACTCAGATGGGTAGATCTCGAATGGCTTGGCCTTTCTCCATATGTGACATTTTCAAAGATCTACACTTGAAGCAAGACTCTCTATCTGTGTTGTTACTGGGTCGGCTTCACTGTCGTGTGCGTAATGGGTTGAGTTCATGGTTGGACTCACATTCTTATTGAAATAAGCACACATAACACTCAGCATGTGCAGAAGCAACGGCTGTCGTGATCCATACAAATAATCAGTCTCTTGAGAGACTACAGAGACTGGCTGTACCGAAGAGAGTTGATGCAAGCTCCTGTGGAGAAAATTATCTTTGAGAAGTATTGAAGGAGATTATGAAGTGCCGGTAAAAAAGTAAAGTTTACCAACAGTTAAACCCAGGGTTCGAACTACGTCATTGTCAGCTCATCTGTCTACTGCAGAGTTGGATACGTACCTACGTTCTCTACTCATCAGTTCAGCTCTGTCTGTGCATCCTATCTGAGTCAGATCGGAAATAGCCGGCACTGGTCTGACTCTGATCTGACTCAGAGTCAGACCAGTGCCGGCTATCTCCATGCTTCTGGTGACTGGCTTTCTGGCCAGTCGCAGCTCCACCGAAGGAGCTCAAACTTCCTAAGTCGTGAATTCCAGATTTTGAGCAACTGTAACGCTCCTTCCAGTTAGAGGGGTGAAGAGTGTTTGGAGCTGCTGGTGGTGAATGGTAGAAGAACAAAGCACAAACTGTGTTCAGCGAGAATTCTACATGTTAAAAATATATGTCTATGATTGTTTAAGTGGTTGAAGGGTTATAATGATCCGAAACTGAGCTCCATCACTCTTAACGTTTGTCGAGGGATGGCAGAACGAGACCCACGAAGATTGTATGGCCACGAAAAGTCCGTCTACGATTGTATCTATGCCAAAGCATCCACAATACTGGTCTCCTAGAAACATTTGACAAGCACCCTTCTACCATCCATGACCTTCACTAACTTTTCAGACGGTGCTAGTAAGGAGTGATTCATGAAGGCTTCCACAAGTGTGTCCTGCACTACTAATCTCTATCGGACATTAGACGTGGGTAAGGCATCCAAGTACAAATGTTAGACAAATGCTCTGCACTCCTGAAAGACGTCATCTATATGACTTCTTGCCTTCAAACAGAGAGGATCTCCGATTGTGTTGACTGCTGGAGAAACGTCGTATATATCCATGCAAGATTCTGGATTCTCTTTCTGATGAAATTTCGAGCTCTTCTGGATGCCTTCAAGAGAAAGGCAGCCGCATGGAATTCAGAGCAGATTGTCAAGGAAAGACAACTGTAGATATGCTTTTGCCCTAGTTCATGCACATAGGTGAGAGTAGTCTTCACCAGGAGAACGGAGTGCGTAGACCCTCAACAAGGGCATAGATCTAGAGTCTAATATAATGAAGTTGGATCAGCTTGATAGAAATGTCAGCGATGACTTCAGCACTCACTGCATGGCTGCTGCAGTCGTGCATCACTGCGCACCATCCAGATTTGTAGCCATAGGTCAGGAACTGCAGTACATCCGCCAAAGCAAAGCAGACCCAGACTTGACATATTTGAACATATCTTACCAATAATCTACGCATTCCCAGTTTGACATTCGGACTCCCCTGTTTGCGCATTTTGTATGCATGTCATATGAGAATGTTTCGGTTCGATATGATTGTATAATTAGAATCTTCTCTGAAAACTGAAATGCCAACTTTGCGAAGCATTCTGTTCCTTAATTAGTTTACCATGACCTCTTGGGTCATGGTAAACATGGTTTACCGATTTCTGCTAAAGGATGTAAATGTACTAGTATCAAATGTTCCTTATGCATTTACCCGATCAGATATTTCGATTGTATTTAATGGTTTCAGGTATTTCCCGAGGTATTACAATCAGTGACAGTAAAAACCCAAGTGCAACAACAGTGGCAGTAACACACGAGAATGAAAAAAGAGCAGACAGTAGACAGTATGTACGCAGGAGACAAGTATACGTGGTTCACCCCGAGAGAACGAAGGACAACGAAGAGCAGGTGTATATATGAACTCGCGGACTCCATGGGAGTTTGATGCTCTCCCAGCGACTCTGTGCGAGCTGCCTCCGATCCCGACTCCAAACTGGACGTCCGAGTGCGAATTCGAAAGCTGACTAAAACTCGCAGGGGGCTTTACAGAAGAGAAGTTGGGGATTATATACCCTAGGTCTAACCCACAGGTGACTAAGTGTAGGTTACTAACCAGGGTTGACCCGAAAACCCGAGTTAATGCCAACAAATGCCATAGTTAGAAATTGTTTAAGTTTTGGACATTTAAATTTGAAAATGAGTTATTTTATCAACTAAATTCCAACAGTTATCACGAAGCAATTTGGTATTCGGAAGGAATACCGTGATAGATTCACGCGGAGTGGATTGAGTTATCGGTTACCTTTATCTAAACAAACTCTAATGATTATATCATTGGCTCTACTATATGTTAGAGTCCGACTCCAGAACTAACAATATTGATATACAAATCAGTTTCATTCATTGTGGACTTATACGAAACTTCAAATATCTAACCATATTCCTCTCCCGTTGCACTATCACCTAAACTTCTGATAGTTGTACAATCCAAACTTTCAAAAGATTCTTGTAAATTTGCTTTGTGTCATCACGGAGTTGTTCGATGTTCTTTCAAGAACCGTGATGGATTCACGCGGATTGGGCTAAGGTATCGGCTACCTTTATCTAAACGGGTTTTAACGATCATATCATTGGCTGGACTTTACGTTGGGGTCCGAATCCACAACGACCAAAACTGATATACAAATCAATTTCATTCATTGTGGAATCGTACGAAACTTCATAAGATCTAACCATACTTCTCTCCAGTTGCACTATCACCTAAACTTCCGAGAGTTGTACAATCCAAACTTTTGAAATATTCTTGAAAATTTGCTTTGCGTCATCACGGAGAAGTTCAATTGTTCTTTCAAGAACCGTGTTGAATTCACGCGGAGGTGCTAACGTATTGGCTACTTTTATCTAAACGGGTTCTAACGATCATATTATCGGCTCGACTTTACGTTAGAGTCCGACTCCACAACGAACAAAACAGATATACAAATCAGTAACATTTATTGTGAAATCGGACAAAACTTCATAAGATCTACCCTGACTTCTCTCCAGTTGCACTATCACCTAAACTTCCAAGAGTTATACAATCCAAACTTTCAAAAGATTCTTGAAAATTTGCTTTGCGTCATCACGGAGTAGTTCGATTGTTCTTTCAAGAACCGTGGTGGATTCACGCGGAGTGAGCTAAGGTATCGGCTATCTTTATCTAAACGTGTTCTAACGATCATATCATCGGCTCGACTTTACGTTGGAGTCTAACTCCACAACAAACAAAACTGATATACAAATCATTTTCATCCATTGTGGAATCGAACGAAACTTCATAAGATCTAACCAAACTTCTCTCCAGTTGCACTATCACCTAAACTTCCGAGAGTTGTACTTATCATCCAAACATTCAAGAGATTCTTGGAAATTTGCTTTGCATCATCACAGAGTAGTTCCATTGTTCTTTCAAGAACCGTGATTGATTCACGCGGAGTGGACTAAGGTATCGGCTAACTTTATCTAAACGGGTTCTAACGATCATATCATCGGCTCAACTTTACGTTGAAGTCCGACTCCACAACAAACAAAAGTGATATACAAATGAGTTTCATTCATTGTGGAATTGGACAAAACTTCATAAAATTTAATCCGACTTCTGTCAAGTTGCACTATCATCTAAACTTCAAAGAGTTGTACAACCCAAACTTTTGAGAGTTTTTTAGAAATTTGCTCTACGCCATCACAAAGGTGTTTGATTGTCCTTTCAAGTATCATTAGATTCAAGCAGAGTGGGTTGAAGTATTGGCTATCTTTATCTAAACGGCATCTAACAATCATATCATTGGCTTGACTATACGTTGAAATCCAACTTCATAACGATCAAAACTAATATACAAATCAATTTTGTTAATTATGGAATCGGATGAAACTTCATAAGATCTAATCAGACTTCTCTCTAGTTGCACTATCACCTAAACTTCTGACAGTTGTACAATCCAAACTTTCTAGAGACTTTTAGAAATTTGCTTGGCTTTATCACGGAGGAGTTGGGGATATTTTCAAGGACCGTGATGGATTCACGTGGAGTGGATTGAGGTATCGGCTACCTTTATCTAAACGAATTCTAATGATTATATCATCTGCTCCATTATACGTTGAAGTCCAACTCCACAACAAACAAAACTGATATACAAAATGATTTTGTTCATTGTGGATTCCAACAAAACTTCATAAGATCTAACGAGACTACTTTCCAATTGCAATATCACCTAGACTTCCAAAAATTGTACAATCTAAACTTTTGAGAGAGCCTTGGAAATTTGATGTGTGTCATCACAAAGCAGTTTGGTGGTCTTGTCAAGTATCGTGGTGGATTTACGCGGAATGAGTTGAGGTATCGGCGAGTTTGAAAGTGACTATGTTATGTAGATTGGTGCATGAAGACAATATTGGCTCCAAATTACCTGCCTATCATCCACGTTGATGTTAATACTAGTGAAGTTGCCAATGGTGTTGTTACCAGTGGAGTTGCGAGTAGCAACACTAGAGAAGTTACTAGGAGGGGTACTAGTGGAAGTATTGGTGCAACTGCTGGTGAAGGTACTAGTGAGCATACTAATGGTGCAACTAGTGAAAACACTAGCAATGATACTAGTAGCATTGATGTTGGCAGTTTGAGTGGAGTCGATGATGTATCTTCGTTTAGCCTGCTTGTGAAATTATTCAAGAGTTTGAAGAACAACTATCAAGGGTTGAAGACTGAGAAGTTAAATATCTTCAAGAGGTTGAACAAAAGACTGGTGAGAGTCTTTGAGAGTCATACATTCGTATATGACGCTTGATCTCAGTTATTCAAGTTGTGATTGAGGCATAGGCTGTTCGGTATTGAAACCTGATACTGAATAGAGTGTTGTTATCAAGTCAAATATTTATATGCCACATATATAGAAATAAATAGTGACATCTTGCCAAAGTAGAGTAAAGAAAGTTTAGTGTTTTTCAAATATTTTGATGCTTTTAATATGTTATGCTTTGAGTGATGAGGGGGATGGGTTTTGTAGATAATTTGAGATCATCTTATACTCTTGGATAGTCTTTGAGTTCACGATTAAGCAAAGTAAACTAAGAGGCATTCAAAAAATGATATATTTAAACTAATAAATTATTATATAGAAGGTTGTGATTATAGTTGACTATTTCTTGTATTTTCAAAAAATATATACACACACTACAAAAAATTAACCCAATTCATTTGATAATTCTCTTATGAATCTTATATCGATGTTAAAAGTAGTCACAAGCTTCACCTATTTCAATATACATTGAACTTACTACTTCTAAAATTAATATTCTACACAGTATGCGCAAAAGTGTTCATATTATCGCCCAGAAAGTGGCAAAAGATAGTTAATAAAGCCCAGACTAAATAAGATACAAAACGAGTAGCATATTAGAAAAAGATAGACTAAGTGATCTAAATAAATTGAGAAAACCCATTTGGTACCACAAGTATGAAACCAGAAGGTAGACGGGGATAGGCCCCAATAACACATCACACTCCAGCATGATATTCTTGCATCCTTCCAACCATGTTTGAAATCAAGATATCTGTAAACAGTCATTTGCATTAAGTAATGCAATAGATGGCAAACTGGGAAAAGAAACTCACACCTTGAAGTGATTTCCAAGATGCGACTTAATCTTTTTCTATTTGAGTGATATCGTCTATACTATTTACCCCCAAAATAAGTTCATGCAGTAGAACGTCTAGCTGCATCGAAGTGATCACATCCTTTGAAGCAGGTATGTATGGGTTGTTTCATTTGCTTATTCTTACTTTCTAAACTGCGTTTGTCATGGTTGGATTGGCTCTTAAAAGTCAATGCATTGTTGCGCTGTGAACACTCGAAGGTGGCCATCATTCCAGCGTCTCGATGTCCAGGTTCGTGGCTTTATGCTTTATGCACTCTGCCCATCTTTTTACTAACTTCACTGACACATCCGATTGATACTGTTGCCATTCCTTGGTGGAAGATAGACTGACAAGAATTCTTCGAGTGATAGCGCAACCGAGAGTTCATTTATCGGCTGTGGGATAATATAAGTCTGCTCTTACCATAAGTCAATCTCTCTAGTGAAGTGCGCCGGAATGAATACAAAATCAATTTAAAACATATAAAAGTAAAACCATTGACGTCGCTCGTCGTCTTCCACTACAGTGCTTGGAGTCGTAGTTTGGTTACCAATTTTTCTGTTTCTTTCGAAAGAAACAAAAGGAAATCACAAATCTTATTTTGTTGAAAGTGTCAAATTACAATGCACGTGCTTGTGAATAAAAATTGAAGAACTAGAACATTTTTATCAAACTGTTATGACTGGTTTTTCCAAGTTCGAAGTTATATATACATAATTGTGAAAAAAGTGTTGGGAGAACCACGCGCCAACAAAATCTGAACCCTTCCATATTCTGCTTATATTTTGCAGTTTTATGTGCTGGAAGTGCCTAATGTACTTTGGTTAACGGTGCTAAGTTTCGGAGCATTTCTGAATATGAGCCTTCATGACCCCATGGACAGACTAATATGTGTTTCTTCCTCACATGTACAACCATGCACAAAAAGATAGGCCAACCGCATCAGAATTTCCATTTGTACGAGATTGGGGCATGCTGAAGTTGTTTATTTTTCATGTGACTTTGAGTCTTAAAGAAGCCTCTTTTTTGCAGATCTCAAGAAGTATCGGCAGAGCTGACGATTATCCACCTCCCCCTCTCTCAAGCTCTTGCATACAACAGTTGAGAGAAGAATCAGTTGTTTACAGCTGGTCTCCGAGGTGTGCGAAGCGCAAAAAGGATTTCTAGACTCGCGCTGATCTCCACCAAGATTTTTGACTCTGTCGGCATTGCGAGGTTTGTCAGGATCGGTGTTCATGCAGAGATATCGAGAAGCTGCTGTGGTTCATTTGAGATCTATGTAGCGATGCAAATACCCTTTTCATCATAATTATGTTCTCTGTTTCTGAACAAGTCCCTTTAGGCTCTGACTGACTTCCTATCTTCGTTCGAGTCTACTCCTATTGAGCACTCACCTCCAAAGAGCCTTTTTCTCCTACATCGTGACCGATAGTAGTTCGGCATCACTTTGTCCAAACACCTTCATCGCACAGATTATTCTTCTGCGGGAAGAAATGACTTAGGAGACATCACTTCTACCGAACTAAAGAATGAATTCATTCTTTGGTACTGTTTCCAATTATCCTCAAATGCAACACTAACCATTTTTGGGAAACAGTGGAAATAAACGGGAAAGATCTGGGCAAAACAAGATCAAACGAGTCAACTGCGAGGTTGGTTTGACTGCCGCTGTAATGTATTCGCACTTACTCGAGAACTCCATACCAATTTTACAATCCTGAATGAACAAACTATTTAACAGTATACTACTCCCATGCTGTTATCTTGCCTTCTCTTTCACTTCCTTTTGTTTTCTTCTGTCAATCTTGCTCATGTCCATTATTTGAAGCTTATCTCCGGGTTGTGGCGTCGAAACCCTGAATCATTCGTGATTTGATTCACAGCCCTAAAGTGCAGTTCATTCCCCGTGATTCTCATTCATCTTCGGGATTTCATGTTGGCGAAGCCTGACCCTCCTTACTGACGAGATTGATGGCCCTTGAGCATGTGCATGCATGTTCTGACTGCTCTCGGTTTTAGACATTACAGTCAGACCCTAAACCCTAAACCCTTGCCCTGAGATCTTTGTGAGCTCAGAACGTAATGTAATGTCGAGCCGTATACCACGCGTACGCTTTTTCTGAACCGAACTTTATAACATGGTTGTGATTTGTTTGCATCCAATCATTATGCTTCATAACATACTAGGATTGCAAGAGGAGCGCAAAGACTTTCTCTCGTCACATGCAATCATTTAATACACTTGACTTTCCTGTACACGTAGCTCAGGCTCATGACGATTCGCTGTTCTCCATCGAGTCAAACACTTGACACAAGAGCAGGGAGCTTACTAGTAAGGAAGCATTATAAATACCCCTGAAGGTCCCACCCAAAATCATGCCACGACACTCCGTCCATCAGTAAATGTCGCAATGTTTTCAAATCTTGTTTGTATACATAATTCCCTCTAATATAGAGGTACGTGTGAATAAATCGACGTCACTATGCTTTGTGACAACCTCACCTTCTTTTGCTATGGAACTCGCCAGTCATAGTCCACATTCAAATCTAATTCAATCAACTATCATAAACCATACTCTTCAATGGAATATCTCACATTTCATCAATCCTCTGGTGTTCAGGTTATCTAAGACGATGAAAGGCAATAGACGACCGGAATTCATGCTTCAATATGAAGCGGTAAGCGCCCCAATGAATGCAGGTGAATGCCAACCTCTCCATCTGCCAAATGGGACTGGTGAGCGGTGCCAACAAGGGGGTTGGTAAAGGAAATAATTTTGGGGACGAAAGAACTTAAGTTCCCTAGGTCGCATCATTATTTGCGAACCAACCTGGGCTTCATATAATTGGCACCTTCGAGAAGTAGAGTTCGAGGACGTGGACTGGTTGCAGATTAATGTGAAAACTACAGGGGCGACGGGAAACTTTCCGCGTGCTCACAGAAGTTCAGGCCTGTGACAGTAAAAGCTGATAAACTGAAGCTTCAGATATGCTGACCGGAAACCTTCCACAATTGGGTTTCTCACCAATCTAGGATGGAAAACCTGGTGAGTCGATCATACCACTCTGCGGCAAAGGGTGATACCATCGCCAATGGAAACGAGAGAAAGGTCGATCCTCGAATCTTCTGCCAAGAACTTGTTGAGCTCCATGATGAAGGGTTTGTAGTGTCTCACGTACTTGGGATGCTCTTCCAATTCCGCGTCAGTCATAGAAACGGTACCATTCCACAGGGTGTTGTCATAAGCTATCAATCCACCCACTTTCACCAATTGCAGCAACTTCGGGTGGTAGTTAATGTAGTTGTTCTTGTCGGCATCGACGAAAATAAAGTCAAAGCTATCGTGATGCTTCTCCTGCATTCCAATGGTCACAACATTTAGGATCAATCCAGTCTCAAATCACACCCTATCGCTTGAGGGCATGACTGCCTAAAGTTATGTCTTCCTTGCTGACAAAAACGTTGTGGATCTACTGCAGCTGATTATCGTGTTCACATGACCCAGAGGAAGTAAAGAGTCCATCTGCACAAAGATGATGAATATGAAAGAGGATGAAATCGTTGTTCTATAAACGTCACATTGCACAATTGCTTATGTGGGTTTGAATGAGTGAGGAGGTACTCACATCTGCGAGAATGACATCCAGGAGTTCCAAAGCTGGACCCTCCCTGAAGTCAATTTTGTGCGCAACTCCGGCCTTCTCAATAGACGGCCATCCGACATTCAGACAATCTCTGTTGATGTCCATAGCAATGATCTGCGCCCGCCATCGAACAACTCGGATCTCAGCAAATTCCACATTTAAAGCTTGAAATTGACGAACACGACTTCGCTGATTGACGAGAACTCAAGCCAGAAACCGGAAACGGCGAATGGTTCAGCTGCGCGGCAAATACGGTAGCAGACACTTCACGATGCCGAACCAAACAAAGGCATGATAATCTCACCTCTCCATCCTCAGGAATGGCGAGGGCAGTGGCCAGCAAGGAGTATCCAGTGTACACGCCGATCTCCATGGTCTTCTTGGCATTCATGAGCTTAAGCAAGACTTGGAGGAATCTGGCCTCATCGGCGGGAGACAGCATCATGTTCCTGCGTGACACAGGATTCGAAACGGGGAATATTCATCAATCGGCCAATCAACCAAGAAGTTTCACCAAGCTTCAATGTACTAGCTAGTCACCCATGTCCCACATGTGAAATATTCTCCGAATCGGCTCTATCAGGCAGCCATGTCATACATACCAGGGGTGCTTTGCGGTTTCCAGTCGCAGCTCCTTCAGCTGCTCATGCTCCCTGGGGTAAACGGACGACTCCAATATGTACTGCACGAATAAAAACGCCAGAATGCACTTCCTCGTCAATCGCAATGCCTCCACAGAGAGGCGGGACTTTCACCCAAAAATATGAACACAGACGCCTCGCCATAGCCATCAGACCGTCAATAAAAAAAAACCACTCTGCCCATGCATCGGATCTGGAAAGTCGAGATCCATGAGCATGTGACGGACAGTCTCGAAGCTGGTAATAGCTCGAAGATGGAGTCACATCGCTACTACACAACAGAAAACACTGGAAGGGAGTAGGAAAAGAGGTTGACAAATTTGTCAGAGTGTACCTCCATGAGGCCGACATTTCTCAGGATGGTCTTCTCGCCCACGCCGGCGTGCCTGCCCTTCGCTGCGGTCTTCACAACTTTCGTCGTACTTTGCTCATCACTCTTCGTGGAGGCCTCCTCAGTTGTGGTGGTCGAAGTCTCGGAAGTCTCTTGCTTTGCAGTTCCGTTGACGTGAACTTCCTCGACGGGAACTTCGGTTTTGGCCTCCACACCGGCCATTCTGGAACGCTCTGCAACACCGAAAAGGCACTCTTCGTTATCTAGCTCCAAAACAATCGCAGCCAACTAAACTTGCCGAGCCGACGAAGTACGATGCAATGCAACCCCATACTGGTACATGCTCATCCTCGTACCCTCTATCAATCTTTGGGTTAGTCCTTGCTTCACAATCACATCGGACGATTTGTATAATACCCACATTGCACGAGGATTTTTTCCTCAACGCAAATCAACATGAAGGTTGTCAACTGGATTCATCTCACTGGCGTCCTAGGACGTTTGATCTACGGAAACTTGAACTCTGCCGTGACAAGAGGACAGGGAGTAGTAAGGAGCAAATGGACAAGAGTAGGGATTTCAGGGGGACGAAACAGGAATGACAGATTGTTTAGGGCCAAACACTGCGGGCCCGTGTGAACACCAGATCTAAATTGCATCAGCCAATGTCATCCACCATCATCCGTGTTCCAAATCCGCTCACTTACCAGGACGATCTTGAAACTCCCGAATTCGGTATTCCCACACTAATGCTACGAATGTGAACCAGAACTCTGCGTCTGTTGCTGCTGCTCCTGCTACTGTGGCTGTGCACCTCGAAGCGCCGTCACAAGCAGAGAATAAGAAATCGAGATCCGAATGTGGTCACATACCTGGCAGTACGAAGGGGGACGAAGACAGCAGAGGTCGTTGGAACACTTTCAACGCTCGTTAGTGCAGCCCACCTACGAAAGCAAAAGCGGACGAAACGAAGCCTACGGACGGTAATACGGCTCGTCAGTCAATCAATGCGTTTGCTCTCCAGCTTCCGGTAATTCAGCCGCAGGTAATGTGGCAGCGAGTCGGAAGGGCTGGAGAACAAACGAGCCTTGGACTTGACTGGACCGCGAGTGAGGAAGGCAGAGAGCAGTGCTAGTCTGGTGAGCTCGTCTCTTTCTCCAGCTACTACTTCTACCTTCCAGTGCAGACGGTGAATCGGGAAGCCGGAGGGAGGGGGGGGAGAGAGGGAGGGAGGGACGAGGAGATGCAAATTGTATATCTGGCATGGGAGGAATCGGACACGAGAGGAGCACGTGCAGCCAGCCATTGCCCAACATCAGGACAATCAGGCCTCAGCAATTAATGCCTGTTGAGCCTCACCCAAGTAGTAGACGATCCCTATTACGGGTGGAATTTCTTTGGATTACAGCGCACCCGCAGATCCAGTAATACAGTTCGCTTCTCCTCGACGACTCTCGGACCTGCCTTCTGTCACCTCGAGTGGGACATGCTCCTCTCAAACGCATGACCTCAACGCTCCATCTCGCCTTTCTCCATTTACCGACCTTCTTTGAATTCTTGAAGCCTCCCACCTGGCGCGCCGTATCCGCAAGACACTTCTTTCTGGAGTTTTTTATTTCCCCCCGCAATATGAGATTTTGTTCCCTTTCCTGTTCATTGCCCTATTTTCCAGAGGCCCGGGTGAATGAATAATGGTCGTCATTGGAATATTGTGCGCAGACTTCTGCAAATGTGTTCATATCTAAGAGTCCTCGATTATTTCAGTAGTTGATTTTTTTTTTTATGTTTATTATTTCTTGTTGCAAGGCAAATGAATTGTTTCTAGAATATTTTGCACACGGCTCTAACATTGCAGTTTTAACAATCCATGTATGTCTTTCAATCCAACATAATCCACTTCTTATTATGATGATGAGCATACATTTTTATAATACACTTAACTCACTCATCCAAATTCGTATCTTTACGGAGTTTTCTATTTATGAGAAAGTGGTTAAACCCTACAAATGTGTGTGCTTTTATTCTTCAACCAACAAGTTGAGGTTTCATTCACAAGCATTCACTCACAGTCAACACAGCATGTATGTGATTCATATATGCAGAGCTAGGCCCATGGAAACACCAAAATTAATGTACTCAAATCCTTTATGTCTCGGAGAATTATCATCATTTCTATCAAAGAGTAGCAAACTAAGTAGACTTATTAATTGTACTTACAGTACTAAGAATTAACAAGAATCAAGTTAACAATCTTACTTTTGATTCAATTCTTGGTATCTACAATCAATATTATAATTATGCTGAAAATCTATTGTATGCCTTTGTAAACTAGAACTTGTTAAAATTAAGCCATTTCTTGAACCGTCTAAAATAATTCTATAAGATATAAAATAATTTTAGAATACTCTTCTTTTGTTAAATTTTCAAAAGGAACAACTTTGATAAATGCAAAAGTTGAATTAAGTTTATGATAAATCTTGACTAGTTCAATCTTTATCTTAGAAATTCTGATTATACTAAAATACTATATATATTGATGTAATTCATTTTATTATCATGTTGTTGCATAAATCATATGATATAATCGGCTATAATAATGAAAGTAAAGATAGATAACATGTTTTACTATCATAGATGAATCTATTTAATCCGATGATATTTAATATGTATTTATGAAATATTGAGAAAAAAATAACATCCTCTAAAAGAAAAGGCCACAAAATTCTAAAATGAGAAATATCTCAAATAACTCATATTATACTCCTTGTTTATATACATATTCCAAACATGTGAATAACGATAATGTTAAACATCAATCTCATGACTAATAACAAGCACATCTGTTGGTAACTCGTTTTTTTACAATTAACTTTTTCAAATTTCTATCTACCAAGCAAACAAATCCTTGGCATAGAATTTGAATATTATCCAATACAGATTAGTTTCATTTTTATATCATTAAAAGTTATCACAATCTTAACAAACTAAAAATGATTAGATCTTTATGTTACTACATATGTAGCTTTCATTATAAATTAATCTATTCAGGTCAAGAAAAAGCTTATTTTCAACTAATACATTGAACTCTAAGTGTAAACATATTTTGAATTCTATATAAATGACTTTAATTTGAAATTTGTTAAAACCTAAAAATAAAATTAAAATAAAATTTTAAAATGACTTAGAATTTCAGTTCACAACTTTCAAGTTTTTTTTCTAGATTTGAAATAAAATTTAAATCATATTCGAATCACATAGCAATATTCAATTTAATGCACACTATCAAATATACATGAAGTTATTTATTACATTGTCATATGAATTGAATTAAAAAATCTTGCATTAAATAAATTCAATAAAAAACTAACCCTCATATTTTTGAAATATGATCTCAAAATAGTTTTAAATTATATAAAAAAATATCATGCTAAACATGTTAAACACAAGTTTTGTATATTTGCATCTTCATACTAATCATTTATTATTTTAAAATTTGTATGAAGTTTCATATACACTTCAAAAATATTAAAAACTTTCATCTTGAATTGAATTTTACAATCAATATTTTTAAACGTTTTTTTGCCAAAATAAGCATGTCATTTTTTTAAAAAAAGGAAATAAATTAAAAATGAAATTATAGATTTAAATATCATAATATTCATCTTCTTCATATTTATGTTTGTAGAACATATATACATATGAGTGAAAAAAAAATAGAATGATTCGAAAAATTGCATGGATTCATCCGACCTTGAATTTTACTTTTTATGAGCTTGTTTTAATTATACAAGCAACTAAGAAATCTAAACATGAATTTTTATTCATCATTTTCATCAAAGTCAACATATTATTTCATTTAGATTCTTTTTGACAATTTCATAAAAAAATTTATGAAAATATTCATGTGATTCATATAAAAATCAAGTACATTATCAAAATCTGTTATGACTAAAATTGAAGCATACTTTATTAAAAGTGAAACATTTTTATAAGATCATAATGTTTAATATCAAATTTTTGAATCACATTCATTTAAAAGAGTATATGTAGTTTTGATCTTCACATTCCAAGATGGGATTATTATTGTTTCTGGTGATAACTCAAGCTTAAAATTAGTTGTAGTTTAATTAATTTGAATCAGATTTCTTTGATAGGCTTAGGGTTTTTTGCCATCAACTATATTTAAAAAGTACAAGACATAACTTGCATCAAATAATAATGTAGGTTTTTTGTAAAATATCATGTTATTGTTAGCGTAATTGGGTTGAGATAACCACATATATGTTCACCTCGTGTCTGCATGAATTTACTTGTTGTGCTCTTTTGTTTTTCTTGTGGATTTTCATTTCACTTTTCTCACAATTTATATTTTAAACTTTATTTCTAAATTTGTAAATATTATTAGATCCAAATCTATTCAACTTTTGTTAGTTCATTAATACGATAAGACACAAGTGAAATTTGATATTGTGTCATATAAAGATGATAGATAAAGATAAATAGATTAACTTGCCAAAAGTGTCAATTTTTAATAATGACATCTTCCCATTAGTAACCCAAAAGTGAAGAATCATTATTTTGTAGCTTGAAAATTTTTCAAATTATAATAGTACATCACTATTGATAATAGTGACATGATATAAATAGTGACCATCTCTCCTTCAAATATATGCCACGGGCTTAGACTTTTTGAACAAAATTCTTACCTAGTTTACCAACAAAGCTTCATATGAAAGCTTACTTTTTTTAGACAACATGGACAAGGATGGATCAAGAATCAATCTAACGCTCTTCGGAGAAAAAACAATCTTTTGCTACATTAAACTCTAAAAATTTGACAGCCTCGATAGTTCATGATGTCTTTCCAACAAACAAGCAATGCTAGACTTTTCAACGGGAAGTCACTAGATGAAAGTTCTTCTTATTGACAATTGATGGTTTGGATTGAATGTATCAAATTGATTTTGATTTACTATAGAGGTGATGATCACACACACATCATGAATTATCTTGGCAAGGCTCAAGCTCCACATCACGCAAGAGTGACCCAGTGACAAAGAAACGAACTGTGTTTGGCCAAATTTGAGCATCAATACTTTGTTGCATGATTGTGATCCGTCATAATTTTTGCTTTTGGAAATCAAATGTAATCGGATGCTTAATAAGACTCCAAAACTATGACATAAACCTCAAATTATGAAATTTTATTCATTTGAATAAAAATTAATAAATACACAACAACCATTAATTATAAAAAAACATAAGAAAACTTATACAATTTTCAAACTCAAATGCTTTGACTGTAGAATAGTGAATAAAATCGTGAAATTACATATTCAGACATTTGAAATTTTCTAGATAAAAATTCATTGAATTATTTCATATAATTCAATATATTTCATTATTGAATATATTGAATTACTCTTCTATGAGAGTATAATTACACACGCCATTCATTGATTATTGACACTGAGCATCAAATTAGCATAATTTGTCATCTAATTATATTTAAAAGTATACTCTTTAGTCATTGTTGACCGTAGTCATTAAATAAGAATATTTTGTCATAAAATTAGTTTCAAAACTATGCTAGTTAATCAAGTAGAAATATCAATGTAGAAGTTTGTGGTACATTTGGAACATTTTAACATTCAGCACATATAACTCTAAACTTTGTACACAGATGCTACAAAACCTCTTTTAAGTGAAATCTTTCAATAGTGACACTTAATCTTGGTACCAATATGTGTCACTATTTGAAGTTTAAACTTTGTAATGGTTTATTATTTTCTAGTATAAATCATAAATTTATATATGTTAGTTCATTGTTTATGATTGAAACTTTATCATTATAAAATAATCTTTGTGAACATAATTAATACTATATTCAATTTTAGTTAGTTAAAATTAAAGTGAAATTTACTAGATTATAACTATAATTATATTATAATGAAATTTAATCTATCATGTGCGTCTCCAATGATAAGTACGCGCAAATGAGAATTGTATATAAATCTCTATAATAGGTCTCATACAATCTTGAGTTATATTTTTAGACGCCAATTTTGCCAGAATTATTCAAGCCACTCTGTCATAATTAACTTTGCCAAAGTGCCATACTTTAAAAAGATGACATGACAAAATGAGCTTTCGCGCACACACATAATTGCAAAAGCATTTGGACCCTAGAAGGAGAAGTACTCGACGTAGAGAGTTTTAGGCTGCTGCCACATGATCAGCAGCCGACACTAAGTTCCGGGCTAGAACATAACATGGTTTTTGTAAGCCTCAGTTGATCAGCTTGCGATAATCCCGTAAACTCTACCACACGGCCGAAAGTGCCTTTAGAGTGAAAAAGACCGGCCAATAAATATATAGTTTATTGATAGAGAAAGCATACTTGCTCTTTCACGCTGTAAAATTGAATAATATCTTATTTTTTACAGACAATACTTTGTTTTTTGGTAGGTTTTGTCTGCATTGCATCACATTCAAGCAATTTGCG